GTAATGGCTAGGGTTTCCTCCACCATCAGCCTCCATCACCTTCAAATGAACCGTTGTCCAAACCTTAGCTCTTTTGAAGCTTTTGTGCTCTTTTTCAAGTTCTTCGTGGGTTTAAAGGAATAAGAAGAAGAAGAGTTTGTGCCTTGATTCAACAATCAAACCTTTCCCTCACTTGTGTGCATCTTCTAGACTCTTTGTAAGTCCTTAAGTTTCCACCTTTTGATGCTTTTATCTTTAGATCTAGGTTTTAAGTTATATTTTGGTCCCTTTGATGTGGTTTGTATGCTTGGAAGAGATAAAGTTTGCAAATTTATGATTTATCTATGTCCCAAGAGCATTATATCTCATATATCTAGGAAGTGGTGGTGATTTGGGAGCCTTACATGAAATCCAGGTCATATTGCATCTCTTAACCTAGATTTGGGAAAGGACATGCCTTGGGCATGTATGTCCATAAATTTTGCATTTTAAGGGATCATTAGGGTCCCTAAAGGGTTAACATACAACATACCTTAGTGTCGAAGTTAGCAAGAAAAGAAGACAAAAAAATGGAGCTTTGTGTAAAGTACAAGCTGAAACAGCATAAGGTTGGAAAAGAAGTGAAAGAGAAAAAGGATGCTAGAAAGAACATTATAACCTCTGACGATGAGGTGCGCGAGGCGTACAACTTAATTACGTTGAGCGTACTCAGTTTCCCTTAGTTACGTGGTGCGTAGTCCATAAGTATGATGGGCGTACTCGCTATGCCGGGAAATCTTGGTCGCAATCATCTTTTGTACGTCTGGTGTTCTTAAACTTACGTTGAGCGTAATATTAATGCAATTTTTTCTTTTTTTCCATTTTAATTTCTTTTTCCATATGATTCCGTTTGGTGACGTTTGAATAATGAAATTCTCTGCACTTACACAACAACAAAAACCCTCTAACAAATGGCACGTTATCAACAGAATTAAAAATAAAATAAAACTAAAAAATTAAAACGAAAAACAAATAACAAATAATCAAATAAACCAAATTAATTGAAAACCGTTTCCCGACAACGGTGCTAAAAACTGGATTTATTATTATTATTATTATTATTATTATTATTATTATTATATATATATATATATATATATATATATATATATATATATATATATATATATATATTGCTCAAGTTTTAAATTAATAAAACTGAATTTGTCGCATCCGAACTAACACACACTAGGCAGTGAACCTAATCGTATAATTATATAGCTGCAGTAAGAACAGGTGTCGAACACAAGAGGAACGATGATAAATTAATTTTAGAATGTTTAATTATAGGTTACACAAAACACACGAAAAGCAGTAAAGAAGGGTTTTATGGAATTAAATCTCAAACAATCAAGTAAACAACAAATCTCGATAAACCGACTGAAGACAAATCTCTTTAGATACTTTGGTTTAGACAAATTACATCTTAAAATTATAAATAATTGCAACAAAGACTTATTTATTCTTGTACACTGATTCCTAAAATAACTAGCATCGTGGTCACGCTCCTAATCCTTTGATTTCAACATAGCTATTAATTCATATCAGGTGAACAAACAATCATTCAAATTAGTATTTAGTTCATATTAAGCAAGATTTAATCTTATTTAACCCTAATGGTCATAGGAATTAAATCATGCATAGATTGGTCGTCTACTCATGCATACACATTAAAGTTCATCACTTCTTTCCAAACCCTAGGTTTTGGTTAAAAATCTAATGGACAACTTTGATTCAAATTAACACAGTCACATGATCATCTAAATTCTATCAATTCAACAATAAGAAATAAGTAACAATCTTAACACATAGGGATCTTGCAATCAAACATGACAAAATAAATTAAATAAGAATAAACAATCAAAATTGCAATTAAACCATAAGTTAAGAGATTCATTCAATCATAAACGTAAAGTAAAAGGCTTTAATATCCAAATCAAAAAGTAAACACATAGTGGAATCACAATAGAATGCTAAATATGGTCAAGATAACAAACCGCATGACTGCCGACACGAATCCGCTCTCCAATCCCTCAAATATTCGCTCCTGTCAGCTTAACGGCCTTTCAGCCGCCTTCTAGACCCTCAAAAGGCATAATAGAGTTTCCTTGTCGACTAAGAATCAATGGAAAATCGAGTTCTCTTCTCTGGTTGGCCGAAAATCGCTTTTTATATGATTCAGAACCGACTCCGTACGAGTGGTAATGGAATTTATGCCGGGCGTAATAAGAAACTCATCGCGATTTGGATCTGGACACATAGCCCATTATGTTAGGTGTACCACGAACTAGGTTGGGCGTAGTGCTAATCTTCAGAGTACGCAGGGCGTATGGCCATTACGCAGGGCATAATGGGCTGCTTTAGCCACCTGGTTCATCTTTGCATTCCAAGCCCAATTTCCGTCTCCTTTTACTTCTTTTTTGCTCTAACAACAATATACCTATAAAATATAAATTTAAACGCTATAAGTATCTTTTAGTTCTAAATAACAATAATTAATTCTAAAATATTAAGATATGATAATATATATATATATATATATATATATATATATATATATATATATATATATATATATATATATATATATATATATATATATATATATATATATATATATATACACCTCATATTTGAAAGACTAATGAATATAAGTTTTTTACATTTAACTCCTTTTACATGTTTGGTACATTGCACAAATCTATATGTGTTTTTTTTTATTTGATTCTTGTAAAAGCAATGTCTGTAAGGTAACAACCTGATGTTGCCTTGGTGATCAAAATATAAGTCGATTAACAATAGAAAGAAAAAACAAACAGAGGAAAGTAGGAAATAATCGAAAGGAAAAGAACTTGAATTTACTTGGGCAACAAGGATTATTTTCTTTGGAAAAAAACGAAAAAAAAAACGTCTAACATATGTTCCCTATATATAGTAGATAAAAAGTATATATCCTAATCTAACTCAAAACCTTTAAAAAGAAAGAATTCCCAAGATATTTCTGACAAAGAATTCGTCCCATATTCTGAATTATCTAACATTTTCCTCCTAATTCAGAATCATGCACATCTTCATTCATAGCAACTTGTTCATCTCGTCTTTTCGAACCATTTTGATTCTTGACCTTTCCCGGGGTCCTGGACACCTAATCTTCACCTCGGTCACATCCTTTCATGGGGTCCCGGACACCCAATCTTCTATCAATATTTTTGATTGTTCACAAGTCACAATACACGTAACATGTAATATGACATCATGTTGGACAGGTTCATTGCCATCTTGACTTTTTTCTGGATTCACGACCTCTCCCCGGCCACATCCAAAGCCATCCGATTTGAACTCCAATGCCATAATGTTCGTACAATGTAGTTTTTTCAATCTCTTCCTTTGTTTCGATCACCTTTGTTTAAAGAGACATCTCCACCAACCAAGAAAATAACGGTCGACCCGAAAACAGTTTACCGTCTTCGTCTTCTGCTATAAAACAGTCTCGAAATATCCCATGTTGTCCCGAACCTTCTAACAATGTTGTCTTTGGGATTCATCTAAGTCGTCTCCGTTTTAAACAACGGTTTGTGTGATCTCAACCTTGTCAATTTAGCCATTTTAGTGTTGTTTTACTTATGAGTATAACAACTTTGATTTTGATTTCTTTAATATACCCATTATTTTCACTTGATTAAAGAAATAATTTAAATGTTGAAGAGAAATCATCTTCATGTTTAAAGATGGTTGCCGAGTACAACATGACGCCAACTCTAATTATCAAGGCAGCAATGTGGTTCTATTTCATAGTTTCAGCCCCTGTTTTTCTGGCTTTGAACTTTTAGTCCAAACTCGGATTTTCCACAATCATTTTCTACAACTTCTTACTATTGAAACATGTTCTATTGTGCTATTGATTCGTTTAACACCAATAAACATTCTCAAATATGTACTTCAATATAAGAAATTCTCGCAAGCATTATTCAGCATCACTAAGGTGACTTGACGTCACCCTAACTACTATGAATTACATCATCATTCCATTCAGTGATTGAGTTATGCTAATGCACACAATCTAATACCATGTTCTGTGTGAGTTGCTTAACAACTAATTAGCAATCAACACGACTAAAACTGTTTATCCACTTGTAGCAAAATAGTGTAATTTTTACGTGAAGCTCTTTGTACAAATCCTCAACAAATCAATGCAAATAAAAATGTCGAAACACAACAAAATAAAAAGATGAAGGTCTTGTTCACATAGAAGATAGCCTCAAGAACTTAACGAACAAGTATATACTAGATTTGAATTAGGAAAACTCTACTAGTTATCAAATTGGATCGCTCACAACAGTTAGCCAAGAACCATGAATCCTTTTGGTGATTAATTTTTTGTGCACTTTCACACACTTGCTTCCCAATGTAGTTGTTTTTCCGTTCCACTTACAAGACTTCATGTCTAGCTTCCAGATTAATCTGGTTGCAGATTGACAATGAAAATACATGGACATATTACTTGCTGATCCACATCCACAAAAGTGACAACAACCATGCTTGAGAATGTACACATGCAAACACCCAACTGAAAACTAGATAAGTTAAGTGACGACATCAATTATCTTTTCAAGTTCATCTTGGACCTCCTCCTGTGCATAGAATAACATGATGTTCATTTTGCTGTGTAACCTTGGACCACCATAGCCTTTTTCCTTGTATTTTCCAAAATAACAGTTGAGTTGGTTTACTGATGGAGAACAGGTAGGAAAAAGTTCAAAACACAAATAAGCTGCTCTACAATATCAGTTTTAGAAATATAACAAGGATTTTTGTTTTGTGTAGAGTAGTTGTACGTATTTTAAATATAATAATTTATTTTTTGCTGAAATAGTAATTATCGATTGTCATATCAATATCAAAATTCAAATCAAAGTCCAATGGTTAATTAAAATAGAAAACTGAAAAAGAGAGAATACCTGTTACAACATTTCTGGGCCTTGTTAATAGTAATCATGATCGCCATCGTATGTGTAATCATAATCGTATGTGTAATCATAATCGTATGTGTAATCGTAATCATATGTATAATCGTATGTGTAATCATAATCATATGTGTAATCGTATTCGTATGTGTAATCATAATCATAATAGCATTTGTGACCAGCCACGTAATCGTATTGAAGATCGCGATCGAAAACGTGATTGTCATCGTAATAGGAGATTTGTATCTCATCAGACACCTCAAGACTCCCTCTTGACCCACAAACACGCAGACACTTCAACATAAGAATGCTCTGTGGAAGATGACTTATGGGTGTAGCTCCTATAGATAAGTCTTCTAGACATTCTAATCGCCCAATTTCCTCAGGTAACTTCTCCAGCGACCAACAACAATCAAGATTGAGAGATTTCAGATGTTTCAACATACAAATGCTATCCGGAAGATGTTGAATCTTTGCAGATGACAAAGTTAGGTGCTCTAATGACTCTAATTGGCCAAGATCCTCGGGTAACTTCTCAAGTGAAAAACATTGACCAAGATCAAGTTCATGTAGATTTTTCAACATAACTATGCTATCTGGAAGATGTTTAATATATGTACATGACAAATCTAGCAAGCGTAAGCATTCTAACTGACCAAGATCCTCGGGTAACTTCTCTAGCCTTAAACAACGATTAATATTGAGAGACTCCAGATGTTTCAACTCACAAATGCTATCTGGAAGATGCTCGATATCTGTACGTGACAAATCTAGATCCTTTAAAGATTCTAACCCACTAAGGTCCTCTGGTAACGTGTTAAAATACCGAGAATGGTAAAGTATGAGAATGTTGAGGTGTTTCAACAAAGTAATACTGTCCGGAAGATGTTTAAGCTTTGTATTTGTCAAATCTAGAACCTCTAAACTTTCTAAGCAGCCAAGATCCTCAGGTAACTTCTCAAACTCATCACAATGAGCAAGGCGAAGATATTTTAGATTTTTTGGAATGGAAATGCTATCCGGAGACAAATTTAGATTCTCTAAACACCCTACCCGCTGAAAAACCTCAGGTAAATTCTTAAGGGACAAACAAGCCCAAAGGTCGAGAGATTTCAGATGTTCCAATTTCCAGATATCATCTGAAAGTTCTACCAAATCATGACAATCCCTAAGATTCAACGTCTCGAGATTTGGGGTTAGATCAAGGTCAATGGTCTTCAATTTTGAATCACTGAGATCAAGGAATCTAAGCTTGTCAAGAACCTAACATAAGGAGAAAAACAAGATGAATATTGCAGTCAATACAAAGCAATGAATGCATAAGTCATAACATTACAATGAATCATGCAAAAACAATCAATCAACCAAAACTTTACCTTTTTTTCTCCCCCTTCCCAAAGTTGTACGATTTTGCTTGTAGGCAACTCAAGTGTAACAAGATTATTTGCTTGAAATGTTTCGGGTAAAGACCTAAAAGGATAAGAATCCCATTTCAGATATCCTAAAGCATCTGGAAAGCTTGGAATAAATGTATCAAGTTCAGCATCCCTTGAATGGTTTGTCGTAACCACGGAAAGATATCTAAGCGCCTTCATCTTTCCAAGACCTTTTATAAGCGTATAAGGATCGAGTTTCGTACTCGATAATTCTATACATCTTATTTCTTCAGTACCCTGCAAGGAGGTCACCATGAAAGTTGTGTTAAAATAGATGAAGTGTTAGAGTTGTCGAACATACAAATAAACTTGATCCTTACCAAGTCATTAGCCAATATATGTTCAATTATGTCATTCTTCCACAATCGGCTATGTTTCTCACACATGTTTGGGTGTGAACGACGAACAATATTTATGCCCATCTCTTCAATATGGTCATGCATGGCTACATACTCCTGGTCCCAATGGGCATCGATGGTTATGAGAGATTTTTGCTGAAGAACTCTTAAACCACTTAAAGCATGAAATCCACAACTTTCAAGTGCTTGGATTGCCTTTTCTTTCAACCAACCTTTCATTATGCATGCAATATCTAGGAATATTTCCTTGTGATCATCCTCTAGAATGGTATAGCTTAATTCCAATATTTTCATAGTTTCGGTTAGCGGAATGGTTTTTAGTCTTTGTAAGGTATCGTTCCATATGGGCTTATCTTCACCACATAGATTAGAACCCAAAACTTTGATTGTCAGGGGAAGACCAGAAGCATAGCATAGAACTTGTTCTGATAGCTCTTCGTAATCTTCAATTGGAATCTCTCTCCCAAATGCATACCTACTGAAGAGGCAAATTGCTTCCTTATCTGATAACAAATTGACATCACGAATCAATGTCACTTTGTGTGCTAACAGTACTTTCTCATCTCTTGTTGTAATAATAATTCTACTTCCCGGCTTAAACCAAATAAGCTCGCCAGCTAATGCCTCAAGCTGGTTAAGATGATTTACATCATCTAGAACAATAAGAACCTTTATACCACGCATCCTACTCTTCATCATGTTTTTCACGTCTTTTATACTGATGTCTTTATCATCTAAGACATCCGAAAGGATTTGACGTTGCAAGGACTTCAAACCAGACAAAGAAGTGCTTGAAACTTCCCTAACATTCTCAACAAAGCTTACACCTTCAAACTTAAAGGATATTTGATCAAAAACAGATCTGGCCAAAGTTGTCTTCCCACCACCACCCATCCCCTTGATCCCTATCATGCGAACATCATCAATACCGATTTCTAGAGATGATACAAGATCATTTACCCGTGTCTCCATGCCCACTAATTTTCCGTCAAAATTGAAATTGATGGAACATAATTTTAGTGATACTTGTTCCACAATTTCCTGGATGAATTCAGCTTCATGCCTGAATTTTTCGGAATACTTAATTAGCTTTACTAAAAATACCACATGTCAAATTATTTTCATATTTCATGTTTAATTTTTAGAGTCTGAGTTAGAGTTTCACAATACAGCATGTGATGCCATTTGACCCTTTTAAAAGTAGATTAAAGAGGAACAAAGTGAAAGAATATTTCAGATATATATATATATATATATATATATATATATATATATATATATATATATATATATATATATATATATATATGATGAAGGAATTACCCATCGGCAGTGTTCTTCAACTCCCACCCAGCCAGATCGGCTGCTTCTTTCAGAGCCTCCCTCCATTTTCCAGCAGCCGCTTTATTTTTATGTTTGGCAAAGGCTTTTCTAACTGCCCCGCGTTGGTGGCGGATTTCAGTGGGTGCGACATCATAGAAGACCGGGTAAGCAATATGCTCTGTCGTCTTGTCATTGTGACAATCCATTATCTTCACAAGCTCATCAAGGCACCAAGACGAAGATGCATAGTTCCTGGAGAAAACAATGATGTAAAATTTTGAGTCTTTAATGGATCTGATGAGCTCGTCACAGATCCTTTTCCCTTTGGTGATTCTCTTGTCGTCCTTGTAAGTGCAAATGCCTTGCCGTTGAAGAGCATGATAAAGATGATCAACAAAGTTCTTACGAGTGTCTTTTCCTCTGAAACTTAAAAATACATCATACTTAGAGCTTCTCCTATGAACGGATGAAGTTGAGGAAGACGCCATTGATGGTATGCTTGATAGAATCAAATCTTTGCAGGGGAAACGTTATGTGAAACAATCGGAAAGAAACTTGGATGAGATGAATTAAAAGGCTTAAAGAGTATGTTAAAAGGTCAACGCTAGCTTGTACATACGTATATAACTGAAGAGACGGATGAGCAGTATTAAGCCCGTAAGCTCTTACTGTGCGTTTCGGTCATCGGAATCGAACTGGACTGTGATCCTCCGTCGACTAGCCTCCTTCCTTCAATTATTTATGTCGGAGCTCAAAGCATCTGTACACTCTGATTCTTGATGTTTGGAGGGGAAGGGGACAGCGAGATGGAGATAAAGGGTTTTGATTTCTTATTTGGAAGAAAATGCTGATAGGCCAAAAACGACCCTTTAGATTTGTTATTTTTAAAACTTACCCAAACGATCATAAATGTTATCATTCAAGTCCCTTAGAAGTTAAAAGACATAATATGATAATAGGAGTTATTGCAATGGTCCCTTAAATATGTTTTAATGCACATGTCGAGTCATTCTATATTTTATTCTTGCATTATCTTTTACAGTTAACTATAATTATACAAAAATTATCTTTATTTTTCAAACTTTTTAATAAATGTCGAAAGATCGAATCTAATTAATTCTTCTAAGACCATTTTGATTAAATAGTGATTTACTTAAGGTTAATGGTTGTTTTAAACATAACTAGGTGTAAGACTATATGTTATACGGGTTTGATAAAACAAAAAAATTAAATATGCAAGTTTAAACAAAATTTTATTTAAAATTGAAATTTTATATTTCAAATTTGAATTTAAAAGGAAACATATTAAATATTCTATAAGTACTAATATTGTAATTTATTGGTTATTTTCAATTAAGGCAAATTAAGATGTAAATATGATCTGTTAATTAAGAAAATAGAAGAAAAAAAAATGAGAAATGACAAATAGAAAAAAAAACAATTATTCAAAAATACAAAAAAATGATATTTATCCAAGTTAATGAGAGAGTGACATGTGATAAAATTATTTTCATTTATTAGGGAGGATAAATCTTCTAATTTTATAATTCTTAAACTACTTGTCACAATACGTGATAAAATAAAAGTTGTATTTCTTCGTAAAACTCAAATATTAATTAGAGAATTTTATTAGTGTATACTTCTAATGTTTTAATCAGAAACTCAAATATTTATCAGAAAAATTTATTAGTTTACACTTTTTCTTAAAGCTCAAACATTAATCATCTGCATCTCAGTATGTTCCGTTCATTTCAACTTGGTCTTGTGTTCCTCTGAACACAACATATCTCCTTGTGTAATACTATAGGAGTATCGCCTCTTCAGCTAAATATTCTAACTTTACTTAAACAACAAAACTCATTAGCACTTCACAAACCAATGACTTATTTCACCACTTTAATCATGTATGTTAAAGTCGGCTTAACACATTATGAAACTTTCGCAAGGATGTGATAGAAGTCAAATGTTACTCAGTATTATTAAATACTAAGCCAGAGCATCCTACTTATGTTACATATCACATCTTAATACACTACTCGAACTGCATACTACATTGCAGCGATAGACAAAGCCTCGACTGATTGAGTCTGAAAACTCTGCTAGCCTTTCCTTTCATTTTCCTATAATTCTTTTGAATTTATCAACTTTTGATATCGTCAAAGTATTCATTTCCATATTATGTTTCTCTGAATCCGTAAGCAACCATTGTTTCATGCCACTAATTAAGAATGTACTAAACGTACAATCTTCTTCCAAAAGTGCTATTATTTCATTTAAACATTTTCTACATGTACTATACTGATGGGTTTTACACAAAATAACATCCTATGTACTCATGCAAACCCTAATGCTTGGATATAGGTTTCTCTATTTTACATACAATTCATCCAAGACTTGCAAACCCTAGATATAGTGTATATATTTCGAAATTTATACAAGAAATTAGATCTAGATGATTACCTCTTCTTCAAAGCTTGAATCTTCTTGTCCTTGGAGCTTAGAGTCACAAGTGTCACTCCTCTAATGACTTCCAAACACCACAAGCAAGAGTATGATCTTGGAGAGAGGTTGGAAGCTCTTGAAGTCGGATTTGGTACTCTTAGAAGTAGGGTTAGCCAATTTCTGAAGCCTTAGGGGTCTATTTATACATGTGTTGTTAGGGTTTCAATCAAAACCCTAATTAGATAGCTTAGGCGTTAAGCAGTCCAAAGAACCTTCCAGAACAAAGGCCTTGGACGAAATTAGATGGGCTCTCACTCTAATTTTCGTCCACCCCTTAAATCCAAAAGGATTCTCAGCCCAAATCAACTATCACACAATTGACAGTTCCACAAAATTAATTCTTATTTAATTTTTGTCTAATATTAATTAAACTATATGATTTCTCATTTAATATATTATTCATATAACATATTAATAAATCATAATAACCTCTCTCTTCATAAATCATCTTATCATGTTGCTTTGGTGAAGGCAACCCAAAAAGACCATGCACAACCAGGTCAAATACTTATCAAATATAGTTACGGGCTTAGAAACTAATCCAAAAGTCTCACACTTGGTAAGTTCTTCATCATTACTCTTAAACATACTACAATCCTTCACTTAAAATAGGGATTTCTTATACAAATATCATCATATTTGTTCTTAGGATCTTCAAATCCTTAAGCATTCTCCAAGTGTTCTTGACTTGGAAACCCCTTTCTTCAACTATCCATCCCATAGAATCACTCAAGGTGAGTTTATACCCTTTTTTTCATATTTTCTTCTAGTTTTATGAGGGAGAATACAAGTTACAACATCAAAAACACGACTAAACTCAAATGACAGCTTTCAACACAAAAGTTATGGCTCAATCACGATCTATTTTGACCATCTTAAACTCCATAAACTTTAAAATTGTTCAATATGCAAATATTTCAGCTTTAGACCTTTAAAATGACTACTTACACATGTTCATACGATTTTTCTACAATTTATGATGATTTTTACAAAACTGCCTATCACTTCAAAAACGATTCCAGACCCGTCTGTGAAAATGGTCAATTTCACCATAGTTAGGGACCATTAAAAATCATAATACAAATTATGAACAAACTAGACACATTTTCTAAACTCTTAGATATTACAGATCTAGTTTTCAACTTACGGTCATTTTTCTACAATTTTTCTAAAAATAGTGATAGAAATGTTAAAACAAGTAAAAATAGTCTACAAATTTAATAACACTTTGTAACATGTTGAGCAAAGTGTACAACCATATTTAGCTACATATTGAGTGTATTTCATGTTAGTTTACCTTCATGTAACAAAGTTAGTTATTCATAAGGGTTTTCATCCACTACAAACATATAGGATAAACTATACTAGGTATAGTTTATGGGATGATAATACTACAAACATACTAAGGAAGGCACACTTATAATGAACTATATTAAGTATAGTTGATAGTACAATAACATTACAAACATACTAAGAAAGGTACACATATGATAAACTATAATAGGTATATTTTATGGTACATAACACTACAAACACGCTAAGAAAGGTACATATATGATAAGCTATAATAGTTATAGTTTATGGTACATTAAACACTACGATCATAAGGAAGGCTTCACTCACTCTACACAAAAACTCGTTAAATCCGGTTGTGAAACACTACTTCATTGTGCTCTTAGAGTACTGTTTAAAGCCCTGTATTATAACCATAATCTCTTGTAGGTAGAGCGTGATACTTGTGTATAGATCTATATTGGAACTGACAATCCCGCACCCTAAGTTGCTTACAGTAGCTAGACCGGCAGGTCTGGGATGACAAATGTCTAAACATTCTGATGCCTGAAGAACGTCGTAACAGACTTATTATGTCAATTGCACAATTATAATAACTCACATAGGGAAACAACGACACTTATAGTTTACGAGGATTTTTACATTTCAAAAAGGGTTTTCACTCACTCTACACGTAAAATCGTTAAATCCGGTTGTGAGACACTACTTCATTGTACACTTACAGTACTGTTTAAAGCCCTGTATTATAACCATAATCTCTTGTAGGGAGAGCGGGATACTTATGTATAGATCTATATTGGGACTGATAATCCCGTACCCTAAGTTGCTTACAATAGCTAGACCGGCAGGTTTGGGGTGGCAAATGTCAAAACATTCCGACGCCTGAAGAACATCGTAACAGGCTTACTATGTCAATTGCACGGTTATAATAACTCACATAGGGAAACTACAACACATATAGTTTACGAGAATTCCTACATTCATAAGGGTATTATTCAATTAAAACTGCACTTACTATCATAAGTATGGAAAATACTTGTACATTTCGGTCTTTGATCTTTAAGACTACGACTCAACCTATAAGAAAAATGTTGGATTTTTCTTGAGCATACATTACAATTACAAAGGAATTAATCAGTTCAAATTACGCACTACTGTAGTATACTATATCCAAGAACAAACACTCACTCTCATCGGTCTTAGGGTAGTTAAGACTACATATCGCTTAGAATGGTTAGATTCCACCTATAATTGCTACGTGTATACGACAGGGTCATATATAATTTAGACTAGATGAACTTGGAATTGGCTGGGAATGCCTTAGATCCTGTTCTTTGTATTGTTGTGGGCTTAGGGCAGACCCATTATATTCGACTGTTTATCCAATCTTGATTTTTATATGACTTATAGACATTGGGGGATTATAGAAGGAACTTATAGGTCTTCCTAGGAGTAACTTTTACCCGAAAGCATGCATACCTAAGGGTTGTATCATTATAAAACTACTTTGTACCGTTTTTAGGTACAATACAACTTTTATTTTGGAAATCATGCATCAAAATGGTTTTTATACAGATTTAAAATTGAAGAAATATCACCACTCAAGAATACGACAACATTTTTACATTTGGGTTCGAAAAGACTAAAACTACATTCCATTTTACTAAGAAAATATAGGATTTTGTGGAGGTAC